AACTATTAGAAGATGTGAGATCAGGTCTCCTCTCAGCCTTCACTGGTGAACAAGCCTTCCCAACTCTCAATGTGGTGCTTTCTCAACCCAGCCCGGTCCTTCTCCTGCTGAACTTTTGGTATGTGCAAAAGGCATGCGGCAAGGACCCAGCTCCCACTTTTTGCAAGCAGGGGTGCATTTCCTGGGTGCCGCTGGAAATCCTACCCTCCTTTATTGAGGAGGAAAGCGTGTCTCACACATAGACCATGTGCCAGCTTTCTGTCTCATGTGGAAGTAGCAAAATCATTTTCACATCTTCTTGAGTCAGGCAGGGTGAGGGGGTGGCAGCCCTAAGGGCATCACGTCAGGCCAGCGTACGATAGAGTTTGCATCGGCTTCCACTGAAAATAGTTCCATTAATAAAGCAGATGTTGGAAGTCTCCTAATTATCTCTTCTCACTCTCTCCCCACTCATCTCCTTATATTCTTCCCTGACCAGTTTTGATAAAGAGGTTCAAAAAGAATAGGCCCTGAGTCTTTTTTTTTTTTTTGCCCCTGCAAATATTTGCCAGAGACTTTGCACCTGACACCTGAAGGGACTGTACCACTGCTCCACACTTGACAGCATCTCACCAAACCCTGGCAACCAGGCATTCGTGGTGAGGGTGCCACAGGACTTCCTCTGAAGCAAATCCTTCCCAGGTGCTTGGAGAGAGAGCGAACGTTCTGGTGCTGAGTTCCAGCAGGACGGTTGACAAAACGGGCCGCTGAGAATCAAGAGGAAGCACGATTCTGCACACTCAGGGAAGCGTGAGGTTAGCAGAAGTGCAGAAATAAGTTTCGGGGGAGGAAATGTCCTCAGATGGAAATTCCTACCAGAATAATCTGCTGAGAAGCCACGGCACATGGCGACATTTGGACCCATTGACATCGGGAATCCTTGCCGAGGGTTTTTCTTTCACTGCTGAACCATTCTCATGACAAGTAAGGGTGTTCCAGAAGTCACATTACTTCTACCTTGTGTCACCTAATTTTTTGGTTGCTTGGTAAGATGAAATCCCAGCTGTGAGCTGTCCAGCACGAAGGTGTTTCAGCAGGTTTGCCGTCCCAGCTGGGGTGGGTGTGGAATCACTGAACCTTGGCAACAGCCTGTCTGTGTGGATGGAGCCAGGGGCAGATCTACCATGGAACTAACGAAGCTTCAGCTGCAAGGCCCCTAATCACAGAGGGGCCCCGGAAGTGATGGTTGTCCACGTTTTTTTAAAAAATGAACTGTCACTGAAGTAGACAACCAGATTTCATTGCTGGTTGTGAAGGGGCCCCATAACACCTCAAGCTTAGGGGCCTCCAAAATGTGGGTCCACCACTGGATACGAGAACTGTGGCAGCCCACAGTTGCCCTGCTTGGTCTTTCTCCCCAGGTCAGGTACATCAAACATGGAAGGCATCCATCTTGTTCTGGAAGTTTTGTCTGCATTTGCTCAAAGATAAGACCAATTAATCTGGGAAAGAGAGAGAGAGTGTGTGGTCTGGTTTTCACTTAGGTAAGGTAAAAGGTTCCCCTTGATATTTAGTCCAGTCGTGTCTGACTCTAGGGCACGGTGCTCATCCCCTTTTCCAAGCCACAGAGCCAGCGTTTGTCCGAAGACCGTTTCCATGGTCACGTGGCCAGTGCAACTAGACACGGAATGCCATGACCTTCCCACCGAGGTGGTACCTGTTTATCAACTCGCATTTTTACATGCGAACGGCTAGGTTGGCGGGAGCTGGGACAAGCGACGGTCATGTGGATTCGATCTTACAATGGCTGGTCTTCCGACCTTGCAGCACAGAGGCTTCTGCAGTTTAACCCACCGCACCACCCCATCCTTAGACGCTTCCTAAACTTTGGTTCACTAGGGGCCAGCTTTCTTTCATGACCAAGAGGACTCAACTTAAAATGTAACTTGATCTTCCAGGTCCTCTCCCCATATAATTTGCAACCCAACTCAGTCTGTGCTACAAATCCCACATAATGACAGTTACATGGCGGGAGCCCTCAGACACAGCTGGACGATCGATTTGGGAAGGCTGTCCTGGATCAGGGAACGGCAGCTGGGGAAAAAGAGACGGTGAGGCGTAAAGCAGAGCTTGGAAAGGGCACTCTTGTTTTGGATGACCGCTCCCAAGATCCCTCAGCTGGTGGTAGTTTCCAGAAGCCTCTGTTCTTTTCCTCACAGTCCAGACACTTCCATTTGTGAAATGATTGTGTGTGTGTGTGTGTGTGTGTGTGTGTGTGTGTGTGTGTGTGTGTGTGGAAGTGACCTTTGCTTCAGGTGGGGATCCGTGTTGGGAGGAACCCTGGCCGGTTGCTCCCATCTTTGGCCCCCCATTCCTTATTGCCCATAAAACGGGAAGCCACCACTTGAGACAAAGACATCCAGATCCATGCTCTGCTGTCCACATCATTGTCCCGGTTCAAGCTCTGTGAGAAGGAACAGAATCTGTGTCAGGGCCCTCCAGGCCACCGGCTCTTTCCTGTAACTTCCTCTGGTGCCCTCGTTCTGTTCAAAACTTAAATGTGTCAGCACATGTTCTCTTCCCAATCAGCCAGTGACCCGAGAAGACGAAAATATTTGTGGGCTCTCATGCAGACATGCTTTTTCAAACTGGAGAAGGAAGTAAAAGGGATATTTCCTCTTTTCTTTTCTCCAGAGACCGAAAAGGTATTTATTTATGGAGTAGAAATATATATACACACACACGCCCTGCTCCAACTGCACCCATTCTGTCAAACACATATCTTTTAATTTCCAGTCTATAATTCAGTGATCACCATTTCTGTTGTTTTAGGTGTCAATATGGTCCAGCAATGGGGGTAGAATGTCATACAGGGTCTTTCCTCTCCTCTCTCTCACATTCAGCGGCTGTAATGCACGGTGTAAGGTCCAGGAGAACACAGGAAACACCCCATTTGCAACCTGCGTCCATGTAAAAGACCCAGGGGAATTGATCAATTCCTCAAAAGGCTGGATTGTGCTGATTCCATCTCTTGAGCTCAGGTGGAAAAGCTCTGTGTTGGAAAAACAGCAGAAAAAATTGGGACTCACCAAGCTACCTCGTAGGAATGGCTTGTCGGATCCCAGGATGCCCTAAGTAAACATGTCTCGTGGAGAGCAATGGAAACTCTCCAGGAACCCATGACCTGAGGGGGAGGTGGTGAGCACTCCAACGATGGAGGCCTTCAAGAGAAAATTGGACAACCCTCGGTCAGAGGGGCTTTGCCTTCTATTCATGCACTGAGCAGGGGGTTGGGCTATATGGCCTTAGAGGCCCCTTCCAACTTCACAATTCTATGATTCTATGATTCTACAAACTGCAGTCCAAAGTAAATAACTTCGCACATTCTAGAGCTGAGCTAGATGAAATCGCCTAGGAACGAAAACCACTCTTGCCTGGCTTTGTGTATGGACCATGACTCCAAAAAGGCCCACTGGTGGTCATGCTGATTATGGGAATTGTAGTTTTAAAAACAACAACAACAACAACCCTTTCAAGCTCTGCTCATCTGTGCTGATCCTGAATTGGCTTTCTAAAGACTTCTGATCTTCATGGCATCAGCACCAAGCATTTAAAGATATGGCAATCCTGCCTCACACCCATATTTATTTGCATATTTACACAACCCACCCCATCATGACTTTTAAATTTAAAAATGAGAGTAAATTAATCAAAGTAATGACAAGGACTAGACTTAGGGGCTAGGATGCTTCTGGCAACATGGCCAACGTCATTTAATAATAATGCTGAGCATGTGCGTAGCGCTGTAGAGTGGTCAGAGTAGTTCATATACTTCGTCAACAACAATACAACGCTGCTGTCCTCATATCTGGAAGCCGAAGCAGAGAAACTGTGAATTGCATGATGGAAGCAAGTGGCAGCAACAAGGAAGGAAAGATGATTGTGGGGTGAAACTGATATTTCCAATGCAATTTGACATACCAGCATCATGCAGGTGGATTTGGAATAGAGCCTGATCGATTCCATCTTAAAAGGTGTCACAGATACCTGGGGTTGGTGGGTGGGAAGCAGAGACAGAGAAAGGGCAGCAATCAAAGGTGCTCCATCATCTTCTGGGGGTCCAGCAAAGTTATCTCGTGCTCTTTTTTGAAGTCCTCTGAGTTCCCCACTTTAAGAAATTCTGCTGCAGTTCTTTGTTGCTACCTGGGTTGTTATTTCCCCCTTCTCATTTGCATGGTCATATGCAAATAACTGCAACAGGTTCAAGGTATAGTTATTTGTATTCATTATTTACTATGTGCTGTTCTGAATTCTCATAAGAAGCATAGGCTGAAATCCAGTAGTAAGTGGATGGGTCAATTCCTCTGTAGGTTCCATTGATTCAAATGGGTTTACTCCAGTTCCTGATTACTACAGTATTGGATTTCAGCTGTAGAATATTCAAACCAACCAACCAACCAACCAACCAACCAACCAACCAACCAACCAACCAACCAACCAACCAACCAACCAACCAACCAGGTATTTAAAGAGAAATATTGGCTAGAAATATTTGACCTGGCTTTTGAGATCCATTCTTTGTTTTTTTTAAAGGAAAAACAAAATCCCAAAGATGGGATTCACATTGTCACCTACTGCAGTTATGATCCACGTTGGCTGCTTCTGCATGAGAATAAAATCTGTCTCTTTCAACTGTAACCAGACCAACTTTGAAGCTTTAAGCCACCGGAGCTTTGCAATGCAAAACCAGAACCTTGAATTCTGATAAGATGTTATTAAAATATTTCTAAACTCTTCCCTCCCAAGGAGCTTAAAGGGTTGACCACGCAATGCCCAAAAAATGCAACGTTTTGCCCGAACGGTGAAGGGAAGCCAGTGTCATTGCTGGTAGTGTGTCATAACTGTGTACGTCTGGCGAGTCCCTGGTTGAGGCAGTCACCAAGGGGACAAGCCGAACCTCCGCCCTCCCAGCTGGCAAAAGGCCCAAACTCTTTTCAGAAATGACAAAAAGGGGAACTTACTCTAAAATGCAAATTGCTCCACGTTTGCAGCTTTGTTGCAACCCAAGAATCTTCTGCTGCTTGATTCAGAGCCGCACAAAGAGGAAGTAGAGAGCCAGGGGCACCATCCCAGTGTTACTACCTCCATACTGTGGCCATCCATCCACGCCTTCTGCCAGTAATGGGGTGGGATGCTGCAGCACAGAGCATGAATCATATGCAAAATAAAATAAAATAAAGCCAATGGCAAAGACCAACTGTGGGCCCATGTGGGAGCCAAGGGGTGGAAGGCTGGCTTCTGTGTAAGTCTAGCTGCCTACATCAGAGATGGCTACATGGTCCTTGTGAGATCGAAACCGGTTGCCACAGTTTTCATGCCTCTTTTGTCTGCAAACCGTTTTCATGTGCTTCTCAATGCACCTAACGGAACCTATCAGGACCACCAACGGCTACGAACCTGAAGTGTTAATATTTTGGGGTGAGGGGAACCAAAGAGGTTTTTGACGCCTTTAAGACTAACATTTCTTAGAGCATCAACATCAGCTTTCACAAGCCCAACTTCAAAAGTGTGGTGTTATTTGGGGAGGGCAGGTGTGCCTTGGTTGGGATCGAAGGAGGAGGAATAATAAAACAATGCAGTAAAACGGCAATAAAAGGCCAAAAAATAATGATAAATCAGTGTGTAGCAACTGTATGAGAAGCTGAAAATTAGCCAAAATCACTGATCCCAACAACAGCAATAAGAGGGGAACAAACTCATCCCCACGTTGCTAAATGTGGGCCGGGAAACCATGGTCTTGATCCAGGTCTAAATGGAGAGGATAAAACCTAAGCCTATAAAAGGGAAGCATCATCCTCATCATCTAGGAATGGATGGTGTATGGGGATGTTTTCCTTGGGAGCTCTACCTCATGCTGTCTTCCGGATCTTTCTCTGCCATAAATCAACTGGGTTTCCCGCCTCCTGGCCCTGCTGATCTATGGCTGGACTGCAATATGGCTCCTGGCCCCGAAACCCATCGGCAGCCACTACGCACATCTGCCACATCTTGTCTGTCTTATCTTCCTGGCTCTTTTAAAACCCTAGCCCCTTCCTCCTGCCATGCCTAAGAAATGCCAGCCTCGCTCTTTCCCCAAAATTTGCAAGGAAGGATGCTTGGGAATGTAAATTAAGCAGCAGAAGGCAGAAGCGCCTGGTTTTCGAAGGGATGGGTGGTGGGTGTTAAAGAGAGGACAGTGATCTCTAGTGGTTTTCTCAAACACTGTCAAACAGGTTCAGACCGAAATACTCACACTTCCTTATTGCCCTGGAAGGCTTAAAAAAGGACTCACCTGTAAGGAAACTGAACATGAAATTTATTAATGTCCAAGGAGACAGCTGTGTTAGTCAGGTGCAGCAAAATCAACAAAAGATCTCGGGGCAACAATTAAGACCAACAATTTTTATTTGACATGCCTTATAGATCTGCCACCCCCCCCCCCACCAACCACAAACCTGTTGCACATTAGTTTGTGCCTACAAAAGTGTGTGCCATGCAGCTGAAGAGGTGGGCCATGTCCATGGAGGTTCACGACAAATGAAATCTGCTAGTCTGAAAACCTCCTTGAAGAATATTATACGGACTCTCTTGGACAAGAATAAGAAACTACCCCATATAGCTAAGTCCAGTGCCACCTAGTGATGAATCTGGATAATGGCACTATCCGCAAATCTCTAAAACAGACATTAGAGATGTTTCTAGAGGACCACTGAATTGCAACACAGCAGCTCTGCTGAGAATCGTAGAATCACAGAGATGGAAGAGACCACTGAGGCCATCCAGTCCAACCCCCTGCCATGCAGGAACTCCATCAAAGCACTCCCGAACAGAGGGCCACCCAGCCTCTGCTTAAAAGCCTCCAAATGAGTTATTGTGCGGGTATGAGGAGATCCCTTCTCATTGCAACTTTGAGAATTTAGCAGTTATATAAAGATCACCAAATCTATTATAGACTGTTCCTAGGGAACTATGGGAAGACCACCATTCACTGAAAAGCATAAAGGTGTGCACCTTCCCTAGTTTGAGCAAAGGTTATTTTTTAAAATATAAAATACTCGGGCTTCTTCCTCAAGGAATTTCAAAGGAACATCCTGAGAAAGGAGTTGCAAATGAACATGTTGGGAAAGAAAAACTCAATTTAAATCAGCTTTTATGACCCTTTGTGTTTACCTTCTATATATTTATTCTGTTTCCGGTGTTACCTCGGGCTTTCCTTACATGCGTTTTACTGTGAACGTCTGCTTTGTACACGTCTTGGCTAGCGCGCCAAATAAGCGCTTTCCTTGAGAGAGAAACCTCGACCTGTGGACATTTTCTAGCAGAAAAGCTCTCCACAGTATTCCATCTGATCTACCTTATTTGTTGGGGCAACAAAGATGGAAAAACCCTTGAATGCTCATGAAAACTCCTTCGTTTACCGAGACCAAGATTGCTCTCTCTGACCGGCAGCCACAGGTCAGAGACAGATTTCACAGACAGGTTTCACCCAGGACTCCTTCCTTGCCACACCTTGAGATTCCTCTTAATCTCCTGGGCAAATATTAACCAGGCCTCTCCCTGTTTCGCTTTCAGAGTCCGATGAGATCAGAGGCTTCCGGGGAAATTCAGGGGCTTTTAGAAAGTCATGATGGCAGGCTCACAAGTGGGGAAGAAAGGCAGCATCTTGGAAAATGCCTTGAACAAGGGCAAAAGGAGGGCAGGTTAAAGCAGAACAGCTCCTTCCAGAACTTGTTGGAGAGAGTTGTTTTTTAAAAACAAACTCCAACTCTGTGTTGGCTGAGAGTTCCCGGGCGTTGTAGTCCAGCCAACTAACTTTCCTTCATGCTTGCCTTCTCGCCAGGAACTTTCAAAGAATTTGAGACAGTCCCTGCTCCCCTGAAAAGGTGATGGCTCCTCATTAGAGACAAGCATGAATCACCAAATTCATTCAAAAATTGCTAATGTATTGATTCGTATTCACATAAATCAATACACTGAAGCAGATAAATCAATTAATTTTTAGCAATGTTTGATTCCTTGAGCTGTAAAAATGCCTCCCCCCCTCACAAGCACCTAGAGACATCATAATTGCAGGGAAGCTTCCCACAAATTTCCTCTACAATCTTTCCCAGTTTGGTGAATTTTTCTTTTTGGATGCCTGAGTTACACACCCACAAAGAGGCCCTTACAGGAAAGGTTCCCCCTCCCCCAGACACTAGAGACCCCAAAATCACAGAGAAGCTTCTACTGACTCTCTTCCACAATCTCGCCAAATTTGGTGAAGATTGGGTTTTCCTCAAGCCAGATGGTGAAGGGACCTTTCCTGGGGGGAGCCCACTATGTGGTTGTAGAATTTGGAAGTCTGAAATAATAAGACGAAATTTGTAAGAAAAAAATTAATACATCTGTAATTGGTTGTTGTGGTGCTGTCCTCTGAAGATGCCAGGCACAGAGACTGGCGAAACGTTAAGAAGAACAACCTTCAGAACACGGCCAAAGAGCCCGAAAAACCCAAAACAACCATTAGATCCCGGCCGTGAAAGCCTTTGCGAATAAATTTGTAATTCATGATTTGTCAACCTTGACGAATCACAAATCAAAGCAAATCACAATTTTTCTGATTCATGACCGTCTGTCATCATCCTTCTTTCAGGTCAGACTGTTGTTCTTCTCACAGGTAGTTCTCTTCATCATCTCCATCATGGTTGCCTTCTTCTTCCTCCTCCTCCTCTTCCTCCTCCTCTTCCTCCTGTGCCAGGGCTTCAATGTCGTGAGTGATGTCAGTGATCATGCGGTTGAAGGACCCCGACTCGGAGTGCAAGGACCAGCTGTCGTAGCTGCGCATGGCTGAGGCCGAGGTGGTGCTCATGCTCCGCTTGATGCGCCCGAAGCTGTCGGTCAGGATCCCCCCTTCCCGGATGCCAAGGTTCTCCAGGAAATTCTCAAAGTATCCAATATCTTGATCAGGAATGAATGGCCGCATTCCTAGGAAGAAGGAAGGAAGTGAGGGAGGGAGGGAGGGAGGGAGAGAGCACTGGTCACAACATGCTCATATCATCCCAACCTCTCTTTAACGTTCGTGGGTCCAACTGTTTCCCCACCCCCCCTTCCTTAAAGGATCTGGCACCAGGTGAGATTTTACTGAGACCGTGGAGGGTCTACTAATAGTTTGTGCATCTTTTTGGGCTGGATGGTTCAGAGCTTAGAAGTTACTTTTTGAGACTTGGAGCCATTGGCCACGTTGGCTGAGGAATTCTGGGAGATGGAGTCCAAAAAGTTACTTCCGAGCTCTCTGAGAGGAGCAGAAACGGGGCAGACAATTTATGCAACGTGTTCCTTGCGTCATTCTACGCTCAACCACCCCAAGAGTGTTCCTGCACGGCGGGTCTACCCAGCTGAAATAACAAGATTAGCAAATAGCTTGTGGATCGAAGGCAACCTCCTCCGTGGATTTTCCGTCCCCGCAAAGATTTCCCCGCACATTATCTCATTTCTGCCAGACGTTTTGTTTACCCAACAGAAGGAACTTCCGTTTCTCCCCGTAAAGCCGGAGAAGGCCAGCACAGTAAGCCTCCATGGCGAGGCCCATCCGGTACTCCCGGAGCAACATCGCAAACTGCTGGATTTCCTGGGGTGTCAATTTGTTCCTCAGCTGGAGAAGAAAAAGACAAAACCGTTACCAGAAAGTGTAGTCTCAAGGATGTTCAAAGGGCGCTTTCTGCCTTTCTTTGGCCTTTTCTCTTGTCAGTTTCCTTTGCCTGCCTTGACTAATGGATAGCACATGTATCCTTTGATATCTCCAGTTTCCTGTTGCTGACAGGGCTATTAGCAAACCGATGGGCCTTTTAAAACCCTTAAAATATGTATACTTTACAACAGAAAGCCAGAATGATTGTGTGTAAACTTGCTATACAATTCTACTTATTGTTCTGGGAAGGGTGGTAAAATATATTGTGGAATATATCCTTTATATATATCTGTAGAACCTGTATATAGAACTTATATAAACCCTAAGTTTTTCAGGTTCTGCAAAGGGAAAAAACCTGTTCCATAACCAAGACAAGCTTCTTGATACTGCCATATAATACCAAAAACTATGCAGAACCACCACTTAAAAGTCCCTGGCTTGAGGCAGTTTTCTCAGGGTCCATTTGTTGGACGACCTTACAAGACTGTTGTTAATCACTGTTCCTGTCAAGTCTGGAAATGATTTTAAACCTTTGCAAGCTATCCTAAGTCATTATATTGTTTGTGGCCAGAAACAAACAAGATTTAGAGACGTTTCTCTCTCTCTCTCTCTCTCTCTCTCTCTCTCTCTCTCTCAGACTACCATTCCAAGAATCCACTGTCCTATATGGCTCTTACCAAGCATAAAAGCCAGCAGTGGCATGTGTTGTTTTTTGGTGTCCAAAAAAAAGGGGGGGAGGTACTACAAGCTCTGAGCGTATGGTTGCTGGCTCTGTTGCCTCCACTACTAAGAGATTCTGAGCTAAAAACGGGAAACCCGGGGGCTTCTGGTCCTTGTGATGTCGCAGAGGCTGGGCAGGCAAGCATTGGGGTGGAGCTGGTAGCGGAATTCTTTCTGGGCCAGCTGATCACCAGCATGGCGCAGGTCTCTCTCTCACACGCGCCACCCCCTCCATGCAGCGCGTTGACCAGCATGGTGCAGGTCTCTGTCACAGGCGCCACCCCCTCCATGCAGCGCCAGTGCCCCTCCCCTCTCTTGCCCCCCACCCGCCTCCCAGCTCCAAGCCAGACTCCCCGTGATCATGTAGTCCTGCAGCTGCTCCAAGCCAGCACTGCTGTGGTCACTCCCGCTGCCAGCGGTCGCAAGGCTGTGATGGGAACGGCGAAAGGAGGGAGAGGAGGTGTCACTGCAGCAGGCTTCGAAGGTTTCGTGGGAGCCGTCGCTGGAAGGAGAAGGAAGCAGGGGGTCAGTCGCCCTTTGGACTCCCACACAATTTCCCACCTGACCCCCCCCCCTCAATTCAGCTCAGAGCCCGTAACTAGAGGAGATGACCCTTGGAAGCTGCTTTTTCTGTCCTGGACCTCTCCTTCTCATCCACCTGGATGGGAGGCTCATTGGTCTCTGGATCATCAGAAACAGGGTGGACCCTTGGGTCAATCTAGCGAAGATCTCAGAATCCTAGAATAGTGACGTGGGAAGGGACCTATAAGGCCATCAGGTCCAATCCTCTGCCCCGTGAATCTGGGAAATGCTAAAAAGGCCCTGCCCTTTGTGCTCATGGAAGAACTTTCTAGACCATTTCGTTGAGGGACTTGGTTTTGGTCTAAGATGCTTTTGGGCTGGGAGAGTTCCAGGAATCTAACAGCAGCATTCAGGAGCCATCATCCCACAAAGTAACTTTATCTAAGCTCTGGTGCACCTTGGTAGAGACGGAGGTCTCTGAGAAGCTCGCCAGCATCGCCTGAGCGTAACAGCTCACTCCCCGCACGTGGGCAGAAGGCACAACGATAAATACATGGTTTTAAAGCACCCTAGACAAGCATATTCTGTGCCAGGAAGGATGTCTATCATCAGTTTACACGTAAATTTATCTGAGCATCTGACAAAATTAAAATATTTTATCGCCTTTCCAAGGCTTCTCAGACGTCTCCTTTTTAAAATGGCTCTTGATCAAAATGTGTTGTATCCAAGAAGATAGAGTACGCTGCGACCCCCCGTATCTGTGGGAGCAGTTATCGCAGCTCTACTTATCCATGGTCTAAAAATATTAAGAATAAAAGGGGGAAAAACCCCCAAAATATGGATTTTTCATGATGTATTTACCCGAAACAGCCACAAGAGGAAGCCAAAGAGAACATACTCCATAGTCTTGTTGTTGATGAATGCATAGCATGGTCTCTGGCTCCCTCCAGTGGCTAATTCTGGTAATATATACTAAAATACATATTTCTGTTTTTTTTTTTTTACCATGCCACGTATTGTTGTTTAGTCATTTAGTCGTGTCCGAAATACAGTACATATTTCTGGGTGTTTTTTTTACCATGGCATGTATTGTTGTTTAGTCATTTAGTCATGTCCGACTCTTTGTGATCCCATGGACCAGAGCATGCCAGGCCCTCCTGTCTTCCACTGCCTCCCGGAGTTTGGTCAAATTCATGTTGGTAGCATGCTGTGTATAATGTTTGCTGCTATCTGCAATTTTCAGCATCTGTGGCATAGGGGCCTTGGAACCAATCTCCCAGGAATACAAGGGTTTTTACTGTATTCCAAAGCATGTGCATGATGTCAGATGATGTCCTTAGGCAGCTGGGCGCTTCCTGGACTGAATTTAGAGGACAACATCACACCCACACCCACACACATACTAAGTATGGCTTGTCTTTTGCCATGTACATTTATATGTGTATCCATATATAGATATATACCTATCTATACATTTTGGAAACACTACCCTTTTACTCAGAGCAAAATTAAGAAAGCAGGAGCTGAAACGTCTTGCCATGATAATTCAATTTTTTTTTCGGTATATTTCTGGGTGTTTTTTTTACCATGGCATGTATTGTTGTTTAGTCATTTAGTCATGTCCGACTCTTTGTGATCCCATGGACCAGAGCATGCCAGGCCCTCCTGTCTTCCACTGCCTCCCGGAGTTGGGTCAAATTCATGTTGGTAGCATGCCGTGTATAATGTTTGCTATTATCTGCAATTTTCAGCATCTGTGGCTTGGGGTCTTGGAACCAATCTCCCAGGAATACAAGGGTTTTTACTGTATTCCAAAGCATGTGCATGATGTCAGATGATGTCCTTAGGCAGCTGGGCGCTTCCTGGACTGAATTTAGAGGACAACATCACACCCACACCCACACACATACTAAGTATGGCTTGTCTTTTGCCATGTACATTTATATGTGTATCCATATATAGATATATACCTATCTATACATTTTGGAAACACTACCCTTTTACTCAGAGCAAAATTAAGAAAGCAGGAGCTGAAACGTCTTGCCATGATAATTCAATTTTTTTTTCGGTTTTGTCCGTCACTCTAGTATTGTGCATTTGTGTATCTGCCACTAGTGAAAGACTTATCTTCTCTTGATTTGTGCAAAGGCCCTTTAAAATCACCTATAAGGTTATATCTTAGCATCTTTTTTAAAAAACATGCCTGTTGTTAAACTCTTAGCCAGTCCCCATGCCTGGATGGAAAGCATCTCAGAAGGTGTAGAAGCCAGAAGATTTCTAGCCAGTTAATCCCACGAGGGTTTGTTGGGTGAGCAATTACATTTGCCTAGATTTGAATATGAACAAAATTTAAAAACCTCATTTTGTTTTTCGGTTCTATATGAACGTTATGTCGGTCATCTTTTCTTGGGCTGATGGCCTCCAGGTGGAATACATCACCCAGCATCCCCAGAGAACATGTGCCCCCCTCCTTTTCTGCAGGGTCACTGTTTGGCTGGGTTCTTTTCCAAGTGATAGTCTGGCCGTAGATGTCTTTCCATCACCCGACACGGACAATTCCCCTTGGATTACCAGTTAGGAAAGCCGGACTCACAAGGAGCTACAGCAGCTAAAATCGGCATCATATCCGTATGTCCCATCTGTCCGACAGCTATCACCTGGGGGGCGGGGGGGGGGGGGAAGAAGAAGGAGGGCATACTGGGTCATGCCAGCAACCCATAACCCCATTCTGCAAAACATTCTTTATACCCTGCTCACCTTTGTACAACTTCCATCTGGACAGCAATAAATACAGTAGGAGTACAGTATCCACAGGGGATCGGTTTAAAGCCCACCCCCGCAGATGCTGACAAAAGTGGAAGTATCAAACACTATTTATTGCATGACCTCTGGCTTCTTCTAGTGAACCTGAAACTATTGTATTTATAAACAGATATTTCTGGGTTTTTTTTTAATTTAGTATTTTCAGCCAGCGGATTAAGTGACTCAGTGGATACTGATCCCGCAGATAGTTTGTGCTACTGTGTATTTTCTTCACTTTTTTTGGCCATGTGCTCCCTTTGGGCTTTTGTTTTCTGATTTTAGATCAGACCCAATACTAAGAAACATCCATAAAACATCTTATATATATTTTCTTTAAAATTTACTGATTTTGTAAGTTGATTATTCTGCCAAATTTGTGCCCACTGTTCTAAGTCGATATTATGACCAACACTTTGTGCCCGTTTTATCATGCAGTCTTTCACCACATCTTCCATTTTCATATTTAAGAGAAATTAATACATTCTTTTAATTATTTTATCATTTACCTCTAACAGTAGTTTATCAAATGCTGTTTGTTTGTCATAAAAACCCCTTATTTTGTCTTTTGCATACCTGGAGTCTAATTATAATCTCATCCATCAATCAAAAAAATAAAATAAACTCTTTCTCTCTAGTCTTTAACGTCCCTTCTTTCTTAAGCAAATCTCTGTATCTCACTAGTCTTGCTGAGTCCTTTCAAGTAGGCTGTGTGAATGCTTCTAACAGTGACACCCAGCCCGGAATAGAAACGATACTGGAAGTGGCGCAGATGGATATACGAACAGAAGCGTTAAATGAAAGATCATCTCAAAAAGGACTCAAAAAAATGGGAGCAGTTTTATAACTGGATCCGAAACATAGACTGGAAAGTATAGATAAAAGAAGGTAGAAAGGTAAGGAGAGAGTAGTAAAGATAGATAGTCTGGAAAAATTGTTATACTGTATTGTTTACTTATGTGATTTCCCTTTTTACAGAGTAGTAAAGATAGGTAGCCTGGAAAAATTGTTATATAGTTTACTCATGTGATTTCCCTTTTTAACATAATTAAGTAAGTGGATGAAAGAATACTCTTTCGCTCTCTGGAATTTTACCCTTTCCCCCATCCTTCCTTATCCCTTCCTTATGTCCATGTACTAACACCCCAACCCTTACCCTTATTGAAAATGAATACAAACTTTTTTTAAAAAAAATCACATCAGACAAAACTGGCCGACCGGAAGAGATCACGTATCTATCATTCAGCATAAGGCCGTCTCTCATCTACTTACTCCGGCTGTTCAGCCACGGGCGTTTCGGGGTGGACGTGTAGTGATAGCCGGCCCGGTCTACGCACTCGATGGTTTGATCGCCGTAAATGATCTGGAAAACTTGGCAGATCAGCGCACACGATTCCTCGGCTGTGTCCTGCGCCCCCAATTGTGGGGAAAAAAAGTGGTCAGAGAGGAACCTGACACCGACACGTGGCGCAAAACTCTGCAAATCTCAATCTTAGAACTGCAGAAGTGGAAGGGACCCAGACACGCGGCGCAAAACTCTGCAAATCTTAATCTTAAAACTGCAGAACTGCAGAAGTGGAAGGGACCCACAAAGTTCATCATCTCCAGCTCCCGGTCAAGCTTGATGCCTAAACCACTGAGCCGCCAAACGGCAATCTCATACAGTGTTTGGAAAAATGACTGCTTTGAACGATAGCTCCCCAAACCACCCTGTGCCACCACCCCCGCCCAGTTAGCCATGCTGGTTGGAGGACTCCTGGAGCTACCGTCCAGAAAAGTAACTTCCCCAAATCCTGTGGCCATGGCATTCTTCTGAAGACTAGCGGGATGAGAAAAACTTGAAATCCTTCTTGTTTTTTCCCCCATATCCACCACAAACGGATAAGAAAAAGATGGAATTTAGAGCCAAACAACATAGTTTGGCATCACAAAAGTTGTGTGTGTGTTTAGTCGTTTAGTGAGCTACCGTCCAGAAAAGTAACTTCCCCAAATCCTGTGGCCATGGCATTCTTCTGAAGACTAGCGGGATGAGAAAAACTTGAAATCCTTCTTGTTTTTTCCCCCATATCCACCACAAACGGATAAGAAAAAGATGGAATTTAGAGCCAAACAACATAGTTTGGCATCACAAAAGTTGTGTGTGTGTTTAGTCGTTTAGTCTAGTCGTGCCCCTCTAAGTTTCTAGACCTTATAGAGGCAAGGAAAGGGTAGGCATATAAGGCTGATGCTTAGTGAAAGCCCTGAAGCCAGCAGAGGCTTGTCTAATGATTAGCTGCATGTATCCCATGTCAAGAAGAAGCAGAACAAACTATCCATAGTATAGGCTTAATTTGATTCATTTGTACAAACCGAATCATTCAGTATCGCATGGTGAGGAGATTTCCCCTGCTAAAATATGAATCTGCAACCTACTGTACTCCAACAATACTGACACTTGGTCAGTTATGGCAGCGTTAAGTGCAGTTGTGTAAGTATTGGATGTAAGGAACCGGAAAGAGTCGGGCGGTTTATGCAGGCAAAAGGGAGAGTGGCCGTCATATCATGACATTTCAGATATACAATATTGTACATAGCTATTGGACGTAGGGAACCGGAAAGAGTCGGACGGTTTATGCAGGCATAAGGGAGAGTGGCCGTAGTATCACGACATTTCAGATATACAATATTGTACATAGCCATTTACTACATACCCCCATATCTCTTTCGTTTTCTGGCAAATTTACATTAACGATCTGAAAGCAGGTGTTGGCCATTTTTCCTTTCCGGACTGCAATTCCCAGCCAGCATGGCCCCTGGGATTCCGGGATCCTGCACTCCAAAAAGTAAATTTTCGGATCTCTGTATGAAGCAATCGGTCCTTCATTCAATTTGTACACCCCATAAAGGGACCCAGGGCAGCTTAGGAAACACATAAAAGTGGTGTGTGTGTGTTCAGACAGTTAAAAAGAAATCACAACCATTAAAAAACAAAAACAAAGAAAAAACAAAAGGTTGCATATTAAAACGATTCAATTACAAAGAATTTGAAACCATTTGAAATCTGACAAGGTAAAAAGTTCTCGCATCCCCTGGTAAAGCCACCTGCCACCTCGAAAGTGGGTGGATTTGGCTTGCAGGTGATGCCATGTAGACCTCGCAGCGAAGGTTTTTTTCTCTCCTGTTTATGGGACTCACCTGCCAGTTTTTTTGGGTTTGAGTGGCTCCAGACTGTGGCTGGCGGAGGGGAAGAAGGCAGAAAGGTGGAGGCCCATCCACTTACCCTGTTGGCCACCGCCAGGATGATGAGGTTGCAGTAGGCTTCTGGGCTGGGCGG